TGTCTGGGTTCATATGTTTAACAAACAATACTAGATAATAGTTAATTATCATAAACAATATGTTAATTAATCACTCCATAGCCTTCTTCTTGCTAATATATATTCAAAATTACATATCACGTTCCTTTCTCTCTGACTCGTTTTTCTAGCCATTGATGGAAATTATCCCATGTTCTAAAGTACACGGAGTCTTCTTTCTCTTTTCTCTTTAAAGTCCATCTATCCATTTCTGCACACTCTAGAATTTTCTTAATTAGCACTTCTTCAGCTGGTAAGTTTTCATTTTTCCAATGTTGGGCAAATACAATTCTTGCTGCCGTTAGGACGTGAATCCTACCCGATTTTACAATCTTTTTTTCCCCCACAGCTGTGATGTAAATGTAAATGTTAAGTGAATCACGCAGTCATTAAACGAATCCGGCTACTCCCACTGACTGTGTTTCTCGGAAGTCTGCTGGGAAGAATGCGAACGGCGATCATGTGATCTGGGGATTTGGCAACCATTGTAATTGACAGGTGCCCAAATATTGATCCCATGACTTTGGAGATGCTGTAACAGTGGTGTGAGGACCGGGTTTTACGGCGCTTTTTTCAGTGCCGTTGTAACTTTGAACTGTCACTAAGCGAATAGTTGCAAGTCGAGCACTGCCCGTAGTCTCTTCCTTGGAGGTCAACCCTGACCACTTTGGAGAACTCTACTCAAGGAGGAGAAAAAAGCAGAAGGCACAGTCCATTTAAGTCAGGGGTCCTCAAACATGGCCACTTTAAGACTTGTGGACTTCAACTCCCAGGATTCCCTACCCAGCAACGCTGCAGTTTCATCAGAATGGCCGACTGAGGAATCCTGGGAGTTGAAGTCCACAAGTCTTAAAGTGGCCACGTTTGAAGACCCCTGATTTAAGTCTTTAAAATACAGACAGTCCTCAACTTACAACAGTTCACTTAGTAACCATTCAAAGTTATGTCACTGAAAAAAGGCGACAGGACCACTCTTCACGCTCGCAGCATCCCTACGGACCCGGGATCTAAATTCGGATGCTCATCTTTATGACGGCCATGTGATCCCCAGGGTCACGCGATTTCCCCTTTTGTGAACCCCTGACCAGCAAAGTCCATGGGGAAGCCAGATTCACTTAACAACCGGGTTACCGTCTTATCAGCCGCAGCGATTCACTTAAGAACGTGCGGCAAGAAAAGTCGTAAAACGCATTTAAAAAATTTCTCACTGAGCAATAGAAGCTGTGGCCGTAAGATGAGGAATACCTGCATAGATTTTTATCAATTAAAAAAAAGAAAAATACAAACAGACTTTAGGGGATTTCCAGGCTGCAGAATCCAGGCATCTGAGCTCCGGATCTGAGTTCAAGCATCATAGCTACGTTCCTCAAAATGCCACTTAACTTCTGAGGTTAAATAATTCGAGCAGAAGCCAAGATCTGGAGATCTTTAGTCGTGGTCTACAAGCCCTTGTAAGCTCCCCTTTTCTGCACATGGTGGCATTTATCTTATTCAGTCTGATTTGCTCAAGGCTCTCCGTTGTGTCCAAACCATTTGGGGGACTCTAGCAGTCCAAAGTTGCCGAAACCTGAGGACACACAAAGGCCGGAATCAACACAATCCGTCGCATTCAATTACCTGGTCTTGTGATCGGATGAAGGTCCTTCCAGATGGCTGTAGACAAACTCCTGGCCAAATGTGGCTTGTTTACACAGGGAATTTTTAAGTAGGTGAAACTGAGGCAGGCCAAGGAGTCACCTTCCTCTGCTTTTGGCCAATGAGGGATCAGTGCAGGGGTGGAGGTGGTGAAAACACAGGTAGAGCAACTTGACATGTCAAGCCTACACAGAGATGCTGCAGGTCTTGGAAGTAGGTCAAAGGGAACCTGGATCTGCTAGGAATCAGCAGGGAGATCCTGTTTCTTAATCTCAGCAACTTGAAGCATATAAGGAATGGTTGCTGGAATTGGGTATGTCTAGTTTAATGAAGAGAAGGATGAGGGGGGACATGATAGCAGTGCTCCAATATCTCAGGGGCTGCCCCAAAGAAGAGGGAGTCAAGCTATTCTCCAAAGCGCCTGAAGGCAGGACAAGAAGCAACGGATGGAAACTCATCAAGGAGAGAAGCAACCTAGAACTAAGGAGAAACTTCCTGACAGTGAGAACAATTAGCCAGTGGAACAACCTGCCTCCAGAAGCGGTGAATGCTCCAACACTGGAAGTTTTTAAGAAGAGACTGGACAGCCATTTGTCCGAAATGGTATAGGGTTTCCTGCCTGAGCAGGGACCTCCAAGGTCCCTTCCAACTTTACTACTACTACTACTACTACTACTACTACTATTATTATTATTATTATTATTATTATTATTATTATTATTATTATTATTATTATCATTATAAGAAGCGTGGACTTCAACTCTGGGAGTTGAAGTCCACTCATCTTCAGACAGTTGAAAAGTATGGTTCTGGATTTAAAATGCAATAGAATAGAATAGAATAGAATAGAATAGAATAGAATAGAATAGAATAGAATAGAATAGAATAGAACAGAATCTTTGTTGAGAATAGAATAGAATAGAATCTTTATTGAGAATAGAATAGAATAGCATAGAATAGAATATTGAGAATAGAATAGAATAAAATAGTATAGAATAGAAGAATCTTTATTGAGAATAGAATAGAATCTTTATTGAGAATAGAATAGTATAGAATAGAATAGAATAGAATAGAATAGAATCTTTAGTGAGAATAGGATAGGATAGGATAGAATAGAATAGAATAGAATAGAATCTTTATTGAGAATAGAACAGAATAGAACAGAACAGAATAGAATAGAATAGAATAGAATAGAATAGAATAGAATAGAATAGAAGCTGGAAGGGACCTTGGAGGTCTTCTAGTCCAGCCCCCTGCTCGAGCAAGAGAAACAGATAGTCCTCAATTTATAACAGTTTCTTTAGTGACCAAACCAAAGTATATCTTGGTTCAAGGGACTTCGCTGTACAGCGAAACACAGTGCAATCCAAAGTGTAGGGAGTCCTCGACTTACAACAGTTTATCTAGTGACCGAAGTTGTAACGGCACTGAAAAAAGTGACTGACGACCTTTTTCGCACACTTACGACAATTGCATCCTCCCCATGGTCACGTGATCAGAATTCAGACACCGGGCAACCGGCTCACATTTATGACGGTTGCGGCCTCCCAGGGGGGGTCACGTGATCCCCTTTGGCGACCTCCTGACAAGCAAACTCCACCAAATTCACTTCATAGCCATGTTGCTCACTTAACAACGGCAGCAATTCCCTTCGCAACTGTGGCGAGAAAGGTCGTAAAACGGGGCAATTTTTTTTCAACTCAAACGTCTCGCTTAGCAGTGGAAATTTTGGGCTGAATTGGGGTCGTTAAGGACTTACTTTTTTTTTTTTTAAAGGAGATTGGAAACTCTATACAGGTAGGTCCTCAACCTATGACTTAGTGATGGTTAAACAGTACAATGTATCACCCCCCCCCAAAAAAAGTACTTAGGACCTGGATCCATTGTCCAAGCTCCCCCACAACCATGTGACCATATTTTGGCCAGTTGGCAACTGGCCTCCATCTTACAGCCATTCGCAGCATCCCACGATCGTGGCCTCCTTATGACATTTTTGCCCAAAATTGACACTGACAAACAGTCCTCGGTGTCGTGGTTCTGACAGATGAAAGAATTTCGAGGCATTGTTTCCCTTATACAATCTTTATTAGAGAAACATAACATGGGCACTAACATAATCGAAGCCAAAAACTGAATCCCCCCCCTCCCTTGAGCACATAGTATCAAAGCACAATTCCCTCCTCCAATTAACAGTCATAAATCACATTCCCCAATTAGCTTGAAGCGCAGGCTTTCCCTCCAGCTGTCCAGCCTGCCAATTCTTATCATCTCTTATTTCAACAACCTTGATTCTCATGCTAAGTTTAGTGTTGTTATGTCTAGCTCAGGGTTAGGCAACCTTGGCTCTTTTATGACTCATGGACTTCAACTCCCAGAATTCCTGAGCCAGCCATGCTGAGGGGAAAGGGAGAGGTTTCCAAGCTGAGCCATGCTGGCTCAGGAATTCTGGGAGTTGAAGTCCACGAGTCATAAAAGAGCCAAGGTTGCCTACCCCTGGTCTAGCTGGACTCTCGTTCACATTCCCCCCAGCATCATCTAACTCTAAAAGCGAAAAGAAGAAAATGGCTACATCTCCATCTGTTGTCAAAGCAAAAACATCCGATGTTAGCAGCGTTGACACAACCACAATTGAGCCTGACACTTCTTTTGCTAAGGGAGACAGTTGCTAAGAGCATTTTGTCCCATTTTACCAGCTTTCCTACAACAGTTGTTGTGTGAATCACTGCTGTTGTTAACACATGGTCGCTAAGCGAATCGGGCTTCCCCCCTTGACTTTGCTTGTCAGAAGGTCGCAAAAGGGGATCCCGTGACGCCCCAGGACACTGCGACCGTCGTAAATATGAATCAGTTGCCAAGCATCTGAATATTGATCACCTGACCCTGGGGACGCTGCAGTGGTCGGAAGTGTGAAAAACGGCCGTAAGTCACTTTTTTCATTTAGTGTCGAGCGGCCACTAAATGAATGGTTGTAAATTGAGGAAGACCTGTCATTCTAGCGTCCAGCACAAATGCTGCACGGCAGACAACAGCTTCCACGTAACGACTGTAGACGTGATGGTGACTCCTTTAACGACCACTCCGCAACAAAGCCGTCAGATCAGATTGATCGCACGACGACCCGCTTTATGACCTTCGTGACCTACGATCGTAACAGGCTGGGTTCCATGATGGTGGTAAGTCGAGGACGACCTGTAAAACCAATTGGACAGGGAGTCTCGGAAACGGAAACGTAGGGCGAGCGTTTAATGAGTCAGGAGACGGGGATGGAGAACGGGATCCATTTTGAAAACTATATCCACCTATTTGGACAAAAACGGCCGAGGGTTTGGGGCACAGCTTTCCCTCGTTTACTCTGGCAGCTCTGTGGCTTCGTTTCTGACCACGATGGGGATCTTGGCCACCACCCTGTTGAGGCACCAGGGGAAGTGGACCGTCCCCGTCAGCTCGTAGCCGATCTCCATGATGTCGTCGGATTTTTGGGCGCTGGTGACAGGCATCACTTTGGGCAAGCAGAGGGTGCTGTGAATCTTGGTGAACTCGCAAGGGCCTCGCTCCATGCTCGACTCCAGTCGCATCATCTCTTCGTGCTGCTCTAACGTCCGGGGCTCGGCTCGGAAGTTGAAGGCTTTGTAGAGGACCACCGAGTGGAGGGTAAAAACCACCTTCCGGATGGACTTGCCTGTCGGGTTGGTGATTTCGGTGATGAAGGCGATGTTGTCGCCCGGAAGGTAGAGGCTTTTGCTCAGCGACATGCGCAGGGTGATGGGGGCGCTCCTGAGACAACAGTTGTAAGTCAGGATCTTCTGAACTTCGACGACCAACGGGTACTGGAAGATGGGAAGGAGGGAAGACACTGTTGAAGGAAGCTGACAAGAACTGGAGGGGAATAAGGTGAATGGAATAATGGAGAGTTGGAAGGGACCTTGGAGGTCTTCTAGTCCAACCCCCTGCTCAAGCAGGAGGCCCTCTACCATATCAGACAAGTGACTGTCTAGCCCAGGGGTAGGCAACCTTGGCTCTTTTATGACTTGTGGACTTCAACTCCCAGAATTCCTGAGATAGCATGGCTCAGCTTGGAAACCTCTCCCTTTCCCCTCAGCATGGCTGGCTCAGGAATTCTGGGAGTTGAAGTCCACGAGTCATAAAAGAGCCAAGGTTGCCTACCCCTGGCCTAGCCTCTTCTTAAAAACCTCCAGTGATGGAGCGCCCACGATTTCTGGAGGCAAAGCTGTTAGGCGTGAAAGCCGGCTGGGTGACTTTGGGCCAATCACCAGGAGACGGTAAGTTCTAGTCCCTCCTTAGATATGAAAGCCGGCTGGGTGACTTTGGGCCAATCCCCAGGAGACGGTGAGTTCTAGTCCCTCCTTAGATATGAAAGCCGGCTGGGTGACTTTGGGCCAATCCCCAGGAGACGGTGAGTTCTAGTCCCTCCTTAGATATGAAAGCCGGCTGGGTGACTTTGGGCCAATCCCCAGGAGACGGTGAGTTCTAGTCCCTCCTTAGATATGAAAGCCGGCTGGGTGACTTTGGGCCAATCCCCGGGAGACGGTGAGTTCTAGTCCCGCCTTAGATATGAAAGCCAGCTGGGTGACTTTGGGCCAGTCACCAGGAGATGGTGAGTTCTAGTCTCTCCTTAGATATGAAAGCCAGCTGGGTGACTTTGGGCCAATCCCCGGGAGACGGTGAGTTCTAGTCCCGCCTTAGGCATGTACTTATTACGGTGGCTGTGTCTCAGGGATATATGTGATCACCATTTGCGACCCTTGGCAACTGGCTGCTGACAAGCAAAGTCAAATGGGGAAAGCTGGATTCGCTTAACGACCATGTAATTTACTTAAGAACTGTAGGGATTCGCTTAACAACCATATCAAAAAGGTTCTAAAACCAGGCCTGGCTTAGCAATGGAAATTCAGGTCCCAACTTATTGTAAATTGAGGACTATCTCTATATCTGGGGGCCCCAATTCAAAGAAGGCCGTTCTACTTTAAATTACACCTTACGACCAGAAGCGAGCCCAAAATTTCCGTTGCTAAGCGAGACATTTGTTAACTGGTTTTTTGCCCCCTTTTATGACCTTTCTTGCCACCGTCGTTAAATGAATCACTGCAGTTGTTAAATTAGTAACACCGTTGTGAAGAGAATCCGGCTTCCCCCGTGAACTTGGCTTGTCAGAGGGCCGCAAAAGAGAATCGCGTGCCCCTCCCCGGGGACACAGCGACCGTCATAAATACGAGTTGGTGGCCCAGCGTCTGAATTTTGATCACGTGACCCTGGGGAGGCTGCAAGGGTTGTAAGTGTGAAAAAGGGTCATTGGTCACTTGTTTCAGTGTCATTGTAACTTCGGTCGCTAAATGAACGGTTGTAAATCGAGGACTCCCTATACCTTGGACTGCACTGTGTCCTGGCTGTACAGGGAAGTCCCTTGAACCAAAATATACTTTTTCTGCTTGCGAAGGATAAGTTCTCGCGTGGCACAGAGTGCTTGGAGGAAGTAGCTAATTTTCCCCACACGGCTGGTGAAAGTTGATGGGATCCTCGGAGGTAAGACGAAGTCAAAATCAAATTTGTGCACGCCCGGGCCCAGCCAGTTATCTGCAAATCAAGAGCAAAGCAAAAATAATCTCAACTTTTCACATTTCTATAGTAGTATGAACTAGCCATTTAGAATAGAATAGAAAATAGAATAGAAAATAGAAATTAGAATAGAAAATAGAATAGAATATAGAATAGAATAGAAAATAGAACAGATTAAAGTAGAATAGAATATAGAATATAGAATATAGAATATAGAATATAGAATATAGAATATAGAATATAGAATATAGAATATAGAATATAGAATATAGAATATAGGATAGGATAGGATAGGATAGAATAGAATAGAATAGAGAATAGAATAGAATAGAACACAACAGAATAGAACAGAACAAAACAGAGAATAGAATAGAATAGAATAGAATAGAATAGAACAGGAAGGGACCTTGGAGGTCTTCTAGTCCAGCCCCCTGCTCAAGCAGGAGACCCTATACCAGGGGTAGGCAACCTTGGCTCTTTTATGACTTGTGGACTTCAACTCCCAGAATTCCTGAGCCAGCATGGCTCAGCTTGGAAACCTCTCCCTTTCCCCTCAGCATGGCTGGCTCAGGAATTCTGGGAGTTGAAGTCCACGAGTCATAAAAGAGCCAAGGTTGCCTACCCCAGCCCCACACCATCTCAGACAAGTGACTGTCTAGTCTCTTCTTAAAAACCTCCAGTGATGGAGCGCCCACGATTTCTGGAGGCAAGCTGTTCCACTGGTTAATTGTCCTCACTGTCAGGAAGTTTCTCCTTAATTCCAGGTTGCTTCTCTCCTTGACCAGTTTCCAACCATTGTTTCTTGTCCTTCCCTCTGGTGCTTTGGAGAAGAACATGACCCCCTCGTCTTTGTGGCAGCCCCCCAGATACTGGAACGCTGCTATCATGCCTCCCCTATTTCTTCTTTTCTTTAGACTAGCCAGACCCAAGTCCCACAGCCGTTCTTCATATGTTTTAGTCTATATTTCTATATCAACAAATCCATCTAATCCAGTGGTTCTCAACCTGTGGATTGGGACCCCATTTGGGGTCGATCGACCATTTCACGGGGGTCGCGAAGCAAGGCTGTCCGCCATTTTTTTTGTCCGCCATTTTTTTTTGTCCACCATTTTTTCCCCTTTTCCGGCAGGTGCCTTACCTCCCTTGGGCTGGGCCAGCTGGTGGTCGGCCTGCTCTGTCTCTGCCGCTTGCCAGCTACGCCTCGGCCGGCACAGGGGGCGGAACCACGCATGCGCGGCGCTCCCAGGCAGGGAAAGTCCTCAACTTACGACCGGTTGGGTAGTCCTCGACTTACGACCGGTTTAGTCCTCGACGTACGACCGGTTAGTCCTCGACTTACGACCGGTTGGGGTCGCGGCATTAAAAAGGTTGAGAACCACTGATTCTAATCAGTAAAACCTAAAATCAGAGTGTCATTTTTTTTGTCCACCTCAAGCACAAAGTCCAGAAACGGTTTCCAAGCAGGAACCAAAGTACTTCTATTCTTTTCTTTTATCAAAACGGTCAATTTAGCCCTCTCTGCTAATCCCATCAATTTTCCAGCCGCTTCCGAGGAGCGTCTTTGTCTTCCCGAAAGATTCGCCTTAGGTGAGGTGCAATATTCAAACGAAGCCGGAATGACACGTTTCATCGCATTAATCACAAAAACCAGATTTTTTAAAAAAAGAGAGGGTGAAATCAAAGGGACTTATTTTAAAAAAAAAATTCCTTCTTCCGTAGGTGAGGTCTTAAAATTCTGAACTAGGATTAGGGAAATTAGGAGAAATGAACAAGGGTATATCTGGAGGGCACCTTGCGAGAGAAGTTACAACATTTCCAAATATTGGCAGGAGAAGAAGGTAAATATATTTTAATAAATTGCAGGCCACGGGGAAGATTGCATCAGGGGGGAACCGCCCCAGAGAAAAAGACACATGTCAGCCAAGTTTATGTAACAGCAGGAGGTCTATAATTATCCTAATACCTCCCTAGGGTCCCAAACAACAGGAAATTATATAATGGTGGAGATAAGAGACATTAGGATTTATTTCTCATGAATGGGGGGGTGGAGGAGCTGTAGGGAAAGATTAAAGACAGTGGGGCAGGAGACAGACTCTACCCTGCCTGCGTGGGATCCCAGAAGCAGCAGAAAGAGGAAACCTCTTTTTTTGAGCATATATAACACATTTTTGTATACAGGTGGTTCTCGACTTATGAACATTTGTTCATTCGAAATTACATCGGCACTGAAAAATGTGACATGTGGCCGTTTTTCACACTTACGACCGTTGCAGCATTCCTTGCGGTCACGTGATCAAAATTCAGCCGAGAAAAAGAGAGGAAGCATTAAATGTTGAAATAAGAGAAATTTTGGTTATTAAATGTAAGATATTTGGAAATTAGCAGAAAATAAGAATGTTATATTATATTATTAATTCGTTGACCTAAGACGGTGAGAATTCAAATAGATAAGACGTGTATCCTGAACATTAGATCTTGCGATGAATTGGTGATAAAGGGAACTGGGGTTATTTAAAATTTGGAATTTATAAATATTCCAAATCTGAATATTAGTGGGAAACTAAAAATTGGGAAAAACTAACTAGGACATTGTCTAAAAGGTTTGAACGTTAAAATAACTGGGATATGTATAGACCAGGGGTAGGCAACCTTGGCTCTTTTATGACTGGTGGACTTCAACTCCCAGAATTCCTGAGCCAGCCATGCTGAGGGGAAAGGGAGAGGTTGCCAAGCTGAGCCATGCTGGCTCAGGAATTCTGGGAATTGAAGTCCACGAGTCATAAAAGAGTCAAGGTTGCCTACCCCTGATCTAGGAGAATCCAATGGCCATATAAGGAGGCCCAATCCCTTGATGTAGGCCAGGGATGGGGAACCTTGGCTCTTTTATGACTGGTGGACTTCAACTCCCAGAATTCCTGAGCCAGCATGGCTCAGCTTGGAAACCTCTCGCTTTCCCCTCAGCATGGCTGGCTCAGGAATTCTGGGAGTTGAAGTCCACCAGTCATAAAAGAGCCAAGGTTGATTACCCCTGGTATAGACTAAAAATTATTGATAAATGTAAGAAAGTTATTTTTATTTAAGAACTGTATTAATTTAAATATGAGACAGTAAATACCAGGGGGAAAAGAGAGGAAATATTTGATGTAATGGTTTGAGATCTGTACTAAAGACATTTGTATGCTATTGAATTGTTGATCGGCTCAGCCGCCACGTTGTTTTTCAAATATTTAAGCGTAAAACTAGAAAATCAATAAAATTTTCAAAAAAAAAATAATTCAGCTGCTTGGCGAGTGGCTCGTATTTACGATGGTCGCTGTGTGTCCCCGGGAGGGGTCACATGATCCTCCTTTTGCGACCTTCCGACAAGCACAGTCAAGGAAGAAGCCGGATTCCCAGAATAACCGGGTTACTCACTTAACGACTTGCAGGGATTTGTTTAGCCACTGAGGCAAGGAAGGTCGTAGAATGGGGGGGGGGAATCACTTAAGAAATGTCTCGCTTAGCAACGGATATTTTGGGGCCCGATTGTGGCCGTGTGTCGAGGACTAACTGCGTAACACAATTTCAGGTGTGGGTCGTCCTCAGCTTACGGCTGTTCAGTTAATGAACATTGGAAGTTAAAACGGCCCTGAAAAAGTGATCTACGGCCGTTTTTCACACTTACGACCATCGCAGCACGTGGTCACGTGATCAAAATCTGGATACTTGGCAACTGGCAGGTATTTATGATGGGGTCCCCTTTTGTGACCTTCTGACAAGTCAATGGGGGAAGCCAGATTCACTTAACAACCGTGTGGCTAACTTCAAAAATGCAGTTGGTTCACTTAGCAACGGTGGCCCCAAAAAAAAGGTTGCCAAATGGGGCAAAACTCATTGGACAACGGCCTTGCTCAGCAATGGAAATTTGGGGCTCAGTTGTGGTCGTAAGTCGAGGACCACCTGTAGTTTTGGGGCACTGTGATGGTGGAATGGCGTTGGGCTGGGGGGGGAGACTCGGGTTCTGGTCTTGTAGTCCCCCCAGATTTGAGCCGCGTGGGGCAGGAGACGGCTGCTTGCGTGGGGGCTCAGGAGCAGGGCAGATCTCAGGGGCAAAGGATCAAGACCAGGGGTCTTCAAACTTGTCCCTTTGATGACTTGTGGACTTCAACTCCCAGAATTCCTCAGCCAGGCACGCTGGCTGAGGAATTCTGGGAGTTGAAGTCCACCACTCATAAAAGGGCCAAGTTTGAAGACCCCTGGTCTTGATCCAAGCCCGCAGTTTCATCAAAATGGCCGACTGAGGAATTCTGGGAGTTGAAGTCCACAAGTCATAAAAGGGCCAAGTTTGAAGACGCGTGATCAAGACCAACCTGCCTCCAGAAGAGGTGAATGCTCCAACACTGGAGGTTTTTAAGAAGAGACTGAACAGCCACTTGTCTGAAATGGTAGAGGGTCCCCTGCCTAAGCAAGGGGTTGGATTAGATCTGGGGTCACCAACCTGTGGGCTGTGGCCCATTACCAGACTGTGGCCTATTTGCAACCAGGCTACGTCAGTGGCAGGCTGGCGTGCATGTATCCCCTCTAGTATGAGTGAGGCCTCAAAGCTTTTCTCTTGTAAGAGTGGACCTGCGCATGCACGCGCTCCGGCCTGCCACTCATGCGGCCCAGTTTCTCTCTCCCGCCCCCAAGACTGGCCGCCAAGCTGCAAAGGTTAGGGACCCCTGGAATAGATGACCTCCAAGGTCCCTTCCAACTGTTACTCTACTCTACTCTACTCTACTCTACTCTATTCCTAATTCTATTTCTGTTCCTATTCGTAATTCAATTCCTACTCCTTATTCCATTCCATTCCATTCCATTAGAGAAGCAGCAGCAGCAGTAGTAATAGTAGTAGTAACTGTGAGAGGGATCTCAATAGTAGTAACTGTGAGAGGGATCTCAGAGTCCTAGTGGACAATCACTTAAATATGAGCCAGCAGTGTGCTGCAGCTGCCAAAAAAGCCAACACAGTGCTAGGCTGCATTAACAGAGGAATAGAATCAAGATCACGTGAAGTATTAATACCACTTTACAAGGCCTTGGTAAGGCCACACTTGGAATACTGCATCCAGTTTTGGTCACCACGATGTAAAAAAGATGCTGAGACTCTAGAAAGAGTACAGAGAAGAGCAACAAAGATGATTAGGGGACTGGAGGCTAAAACATAAAAGTAACGGTTGCTGGAATTGAGTATGTCCAGTTTAATGAAAAGAAGAACGAGGGGGGACATGAAAGCAGTCTTCCAGTATCTCAGGGGCTGGTCCAAAGAAGAGGGAGTCAAGCTATTCTCCAAAGCACCTGAAGGCAGGACAAGAAGCAACGAGTGGAAACTAATCAAGGAGAGAAGCAACCTAGAACTAAGGAGAAACTTCCTGACAGGTAGAACAATTAACCAGTGGAAGAACCTGCCTCCAGAAGCGGTGAATGTTCCTTATATGTTTTAGCCTCCAGTCCCCTGATCATCTTTGCTGCTCTTCTCTGCACTCTTTCTAGAGTCTCAACATCTTTTTTACATCGTGGTGACCAAAACTGGATGCAGGATTCCAAGTGTGGCCTTACCAAGGCCTTGTAAAGTGGTATTAACACTCCACGTGATCTTGATTCTATCCCTCTGTTAATGCAGCCTAGCACTGTGTTGGCCTTTTTGGCAGCTGCAGCACACTGCTGGCTCATATTTAAGTGATTGTCCACTAGGACTCCGAGATCCCTCTCACAGTTGCTACTATTGAGCAAGGTACCCCCTATAGTACTATACCTGTGCATTTGGTTTTTCTTGCCTAAATGTAGAACCTGACTTTTTTCACCATTGAATTTCATTTTGTTAGAGAGCGCCCAGTGTTCAAGTCTGTGAAGATCCTCCTGTATCTTAAGCCTAACCTCTGATTTCAACTTCAGATGTCTGCAACTCTTGAAGTTAAGCCTATCTTTTGAAAAGTAAAAAACTTTCGTGTATTGTTTCGTGAGAATCTAGCTACAGTTTTCCTGGCATGACATGTTGTGGGAACTCAACCAATAAGTTAGAGCATGGCAATCAGGGTTTGGAGTAAACCAGGAGGATTAAAACCTGCCTGAGCATCTCAGTTTCTGCTCCCAAGAGAAGTTAGATAGGAAGGGATGGGGAAATAAATGCAAAATGTGGTACGGCTTCTCCCAATTTGGGATTTCCATAGGAATGGACTTCAACTCCCAGAAGTCTCCAGCTAAGAGGGCCATTGCAGAGAATCCTGGGAACTGGAGTTCACAAAGCTGGAGAGTGTAAGGCTGATAGGCCTGCCTTCAATAGGTGGGGACAAAGAGATGTTCAAACTCTTTGCTGTCATCTAATGGTCATCTTCATGCCTGCAGTTGAAATCTGGAAGCCTTGGTGGGGGAAATGCTGTGGTTTGTTAAAAACATGATAAGTCTGTCCTCCTCCTCCCTCCCACCCCCAGGAAGACCCCCAGCCCCTTTCTGCTTAACTGCCTCGTGGTAATCCCAGTTAAGCAGCCTCACGTTCAGTCTTGAATGTTTTCGTCTTGTGAACGTAGTCCGCCTTGTTAACGCAGGTGGCTCGCTGACTATAGTCCTTGTCCAAGTGGGCCTCTTCGGTCCACTCCAGGTAGCCTCTCCCAATGAGTTCAACCTTCAGCAGAGGGTCCACCAGCGTGCTGTGAAGACTGAGAATCAGCTGCCCTGCCACGGTCGAGCCTGCCACGTACACTTCCTTGGGTATCACCAGCTCAATAGATTTCACCACCGACATGGATGGGCACCAAGCTCAGGAACTGATCCTTTCTAGGATCCCTCAAGACCCAGAAGGTTTCTCATGGAGAGGATGGGGCTTGAATGAAGAAGCTTTGTGACATCAGCTCGTGATGCAGTGAAATTGGCTGCTGGACAGATAAGTGACAGTCTGGGTGGCAGAGAAATCCCTAAATATTTGTGGAGATGGTCTCTTCCAGGAAGACCACCTTAGGCTTAACTTCTGCCAATGGTGAGTTGAGCACCACGGTTCTGGAACATTGCCGATCCACCAGCAGAACGTTCCAGCACTCTGGTGCTCCTGCATTCTGGAAACGTGGATTCGCTTTTAACTAGCTGACCGTGTTTACTTGTAAAAACAACGACAACACTGTTGACTTATGGACTGTTTTTTAAGGATTAAGATTCAGAGTTAGAAATAAGAAAAAAAAATAGGGGGGGTGATTATTAGAACAGATATCTTAAAATAGATTAAGAATGTACTTTGTGGAATAATAGGTTTATTTTGATGAAAATTATAATGTATTGGAATGGAAAAAAGGGTGGCTTTTTAGATTTGGATTGTTTCAATAATTAATTGAGTGTTTTAAATTAGTAAAATGATGTTTTTGTATGATAACATAGATGTGATAAGGCATGATAGTCAATTGGATGAAATTTGAATTATGTTTAATGAACTGAAAAGATTTAAGGCTGAATATTATTTTGTTATCTTAAAGAGATTGATCGATTGATGGATTATATATGTATGGGGTAGATTAATATTTTATTTTAATTAGGATATGTATTGTGTAATGGAAGAAGAAATAAATGAGACTTGTGATAAAATGAGGGATGTGAGAGATTAAGAATTAGAATATATTTGGAAGGGATACCTCAATTGATAACTTGTTGATTTAAAGTTAAATTTGATTATGGTCATTGTAAATTTACAAAGTTTTAAAACAGGTTTAGCAGTTATAGAAATATAAATTAGAAATGGAACATCTTAAATGTATGATGCTATTTGAGGGAAATAGAGAGGGGATATTGAATGTATTGAGTTGAGTTATTTATATATGGTTTTATTTTTGAATGTTTGATTACCCCAACACCATGGTGCGTCCTGAGCACTTTGTCTTAAGAATTAAAAAAACCAATAAAATGTGTTTAAAAAAAAACAACTAAGAGGAGCAAAACCTTCTCTTGTTTGTTAGGGCTGGGAGAGGAGACCCTTCCCCGGTGATTAATTTAATTGGTTACCAAATTAACTCCCGCTTTCTGTATTTGGACACTATCCCTAATTCAGTGTTTCTCAACCTTTGGCAGCTTGAAGAGACGTGGACTTCAATTCCCAGAATTCCCCAGCCATCCTGCAAACAGGTTGGATTCCTGAAACAAAAAGACCAGCTAGATGCAGGGATCTTCAAACTTGGCCCTTTTATGACTTGTGGACTTCAACTCCCAGAATTCCTCAGCCAGCGTGCCTGGCTGAGGAATTCTGGGAGTTGAAGTCCACAAGTCATGAAGGGGCCATAGTTTTCCCCATGCTGGCTGAGGAATTCTGGGAGTTGAAGTCCACGAGTCATGAAGGGGCCATAGTTTTCCCCATGCTGGCTGAGGAATTCTCAGAGTTGAAGTCCACAAATCATGAAGGGGCCGTAGTTCCCCCATGCTGGCTGGGGAATTCTAGGAGTTGAAGTCTGCAAGTCATGAAGGGGCCATAGTTCCCTCATGCTGCCTGAGGAATTCTGGGAGTTGAAGTCCGCAAGTCATGAAGGGGCCATAGTTCCCTCATGCTGGCTGAGGAATTCTGGGAGTTGAAGTCCACAAGTCATAGAAGGACCAAGTTTGAAGACCCCTGTTCTATGTCAAGGACTTCCCTGTATTGTGTAAATGCAGAAACAAAATTCTTACCTGACCTGGCTGACTGTAAAGTCTGAATATAGCCAGGAGGTTCTATGGATTAAGTTCTGGTTCTTAAACTAAATTATAACACTTCAAGCAATATCAAGTCAATTTTTTTTTTTGGTAAACTGGCTTCCTCAGCTGTGTGAGATGGCAAATTCCATAATTTCCAGACTGGCCATTATGGGACCTCATGTCCAAGATACTTGGGAAAATGTAGCCTTTGATTTTAATTTTTAATTAAATATTGTTAATTAATTTTTTATATTCTATCTAGGCAGAGGAGAAGACGATGCTCAGGGATACGCTTGGCAATGACAGTGCTAAGACTTCTCCTGCTTGAAAAGGGGGCTGGACTGGAAGACCTCCAAGGTCCCTTTCAGCACTATTCTATTCTATTCTATTCTATTCTATTCTATTCTATTCTATTCTATTCTATTCTATTCTATTCCAAAGTATCCAGAACAAGAGTGCCTCTGGGCATACGAGTTGACACCGGAGGAAACGAGGATTTTTTTTCCAGAATGGAAAGACAAAGCCAGAGCAGGACTGTCCAAAGATACAATCTCCAAGATACAACTCCAAAAATAAATAAAACTATTTATAAATAAAACTAATCAAGGAGAGAAGCAACTTAGAACTTAGAAGAAATTTCCTGACAGAACAATTAACCTGCCTCCAGAAGTTGTGAATGATCCAACACTGGAAGTTTTTAAGGAAATTGGAGAGCCATTTGACTAAAATGGTATACAGGGCTTCCTGCCTGAGCAGGGGGTTGGACTGGATGACCTCCAAGGTCCCTTCCAACTCTTTTAGTCTATTCCAGTCTCAAATACAATCAAGCAGACCTTCGCGCCTGCGCAGTCGAGCCACCCTCAGGAAAGCGGGAGGGAGACCAGGACGGAGAAGGCGTTCCTCCCCAAGCCACGCCTCCTTTCTCAGATTCCCGCCACCGCTGACCAATCAGGAGGCTCCGAACGGCGCAGGGCGAATTTCCCCGCCAAACTCCAAAGCCGGGAGTTGTTAAAAAAAAAAAAGAGAGAGAGAGAGAAAAAGCAGATTATTTTTTTTTGGCGCGGCTGCAGCTTTCCCCGCTTCTTTCCAAACGTCGTTGCATTTAGAGATCGCCGGCTCCTTTCTCGTGCCAACAAATTCTCTTCGGCCCTTTGAAGTTTGCATTGATAAGATTGCAATTTTTTGTTCGTTTAGTTCTGCTTTTTTGTAAAAACAAAAAAAAAGGCGCCAACCTTTGGATCTGGCAAGAGGATCTGGAGCGAAAGAGGAGAAAGAAGGATCCGTTTGGCCCAGTGAGTATTCTTTTACAAGTCCTCCAAGGCTGCCACCAGCACGTAATGCTTTGCGGGTTGCGGTTTAGCTGACTCCCGGGTCAAGTGTTTGCACGTGGGAATGAGTGATCTCGGCTCCTGGGGGTGGCGAAGGGCCCCTGGGTTTCCCCCCTTGATCGTGCAGAGGCGCTTTTACAACTGCAGGGTCTGGGGTGCATCTGGACCTGCGTGTTCTCTAGCTAAAAGCTATATGGCGGGGGGGGGGGTGGCTGGGTGTGCAAAATTACTACACCTAAACAAACAAGAGTTCAGGTCCGGATAGGTAGGTGTAGATCCAGCCTTTCCGTTGCCTCCTCACTGTGCAATCAAAAGCATCTCTACTCATAAGTAAATCCCGTTGCAATCAGTGGACCCGACTGCCAGGTAAGCTTGTCTTTAAAATGTAAATTATTTGGAGTGCTTCAAACAATTGGTACCTTTGCATTGCTAAAACAATTGCAACTCCACAAACTGCATGTTTTTGCCCCTTACGGTATTAGAGCAGGTCAATCAAGGGCTTCTTTCTATATTTTATTTTATATTATTTTATTTTACCATATTTTATTTTATTCTATTTTTATTTTATTATACAGTATGTTTTATCTTTTATTTTACTGTGTTTTATTCTATTTTTATTTTATTGTACGGTATTCTATTTTTTTACATTTTATTTTACTGTATTTTGTTCTATTTTTATTTTATGGTACGGTATTTTATTTATTTTATTTTTATTACATTTTATGATCGTTTATTTTATTTATTTTTATTTTATTTTTTATTACGGTTTTATGATCGTTTATTATGTTTTATTTATTTTTAATTCACTGTTTTTTTATTTATTTTGTTTCATTTCATTCTTTTGTTTCTTCTTTTATTTATTTACTTTATATTTTATTTTTTTTTCCATTGGATTTTTATAGTCGCCCGCTTCAACCCAGTGATTCTGGGTGGCTTACTGTTCTAAAACAGCCAAACAACTAAAACAGTCTTAAAAAAAAGAGAGAGAGAGATTACAATTTAAAAAACAAACAAACATTTGCAGAACAAAATAAGTATAAACAACAGCCAAGGTGATGATGGCCTAGCCCTATTCCAAATACGATCCCAGGAGCTCCCTTAGAAATTTCTCCAGGGAGTGTAAAACTGAAGTTTTACCAAAAACCAGCTTGAGAAGAACAAATGAAACTTGGCAGGCCACGTGGGCCGGCCCACGGTCTGCCCTGGATTTTTGTGGTAGAAAAGGAAACGGCCGCTGGAGGCGTTGCCGTCCTGTCCCGCTGCGTCATTTTCATCTGACAATTATGGCCGTCTCAAAGAGGATCAACGTGGGTGCAGCTGGCTTAGAGCCGTCCCGGGAAACCTGCAGAAGACGGGAGGTTGAAGGTGCCGCCATCCCGTAGTCTTTGGCAAGGAAGGATGGAGTTCCCGTCAGGTAGGGTTAATTTTGCTTTGAAAGACTCGGAGGGGGGGTGTCTTAAGAGGTCATCCAGTCTGACCCCCCCCTCGCCCCTGCTCTGGGTGCGATCCACTTGGACCATCTGACAGATGACTGGTGCAGCCTTGAAGGAAGCGGCGCTTAGGGACGTCATGTGGCAGCCTGTTCCACAGACCGACAGCCGATATACAGGTAGTCCTCGACTTAGGACCGCAATTGAGTCCAGGATTTTCCATGCTGAGCGTGACGATCGCTAAGTGAGTTTTACCCCATTTTTTTTAGGAGCTTTCTTGCCCCAGCTGCTAAGTGAATCGCTGCTGTTCTTCGATTAGTCACACGGTTGTTAAGTGGGTC